CCCCCCCCTAAAAAAAAAAAAAAAATCTGTCCCATCACATGCGTGACAACAAAAAATAATAAATGCCGCAACGCAACTGGAAATGAGGCACTAAAATGAGAAAACATCGGCAAAAACATCTTCTGCCTTCCCCTCACTCCACACATCCTTTGAAATCAACACGGAAGGACGAGACCTCGCCGTCCATGGCCGGCTTTTATTGCTGGTGGCATGCGCCCCCGCCGTTCCTGCCGCATCGCCCGTGCGTGCAAACGCAGAGCTTAGCGCGCTGCTGAGGGCACATACAGCAGTTCCACTACCAGGCGGCCGTGGAAGCGGAGAATTAAAGTGAACGCGCTGCACCGCCGCATCAGGCAAGCACATGTGTGCAACTGTTTTTTGCTTCCCAGTTCCACAGTTACTGACAACGTTTGCTGGGTGTTGCCGCAGCGGGGTGCGGCGTGCGGTGGGCCTTGATGCGCTGGGTGGCACACGAGTGCCAAGAGTCAAGAATTCACCAAGTGAATTCGCAGAGGAATCGGAGGCAGCGTCGCTTTCTTCCTTGCGTCTTTGTTGTTCTTCTTGTTGCTGCTGTGTGGACGCTGGGTACGTCCGGCGTGCGGCAACGGCGGCCGAGAAGCCGGCATGGCTGCGAGGTCGCTTCTTATCCGTCTGTGACAGGGCATTGGTAGCACGACTTATTCGTCTACTCACCGTCTTATTCGGTGTAGCGTGACAGGCGGAGATCGCCGCCGCGTCGTCAGAGTTCTTCTTCACAGCAGTACCCCCGCTTCCGCTGCTGCTGCTGCTGCTGTGAGGGTGATTTGGGTAAACACGCCGCTGCTGCCATCCTTGTTTGCTCCGCACTCCTTGCCGCCTCTTCAGCACGCGTCAGTAAAAGTGCCTGCGCAGCCTGCTCGCCCACCACACAGCGTGCGTCAACCTCATTTCCCTCCACGGTTCCACGCACAAGTGACTCCTCTGCCACGAGCCCCTCGCGCGCCTCTTGCTGCAAGGTGCGAAATCGCCGGGCTGACACACGTGCTTCATAAGCAGCTCTCACAGACAAGAGTGCCTCTTCCCGTTCAGCCCGCTCGCCGTACAGGTCAACAAGACGCGCGCGCTGCTTCCGGCGAAACATTTGAAGAGCAAAACGCACAAGTTGGAGAGATTGCATGCGGTGTTCCACAACAACTTCAGCCCCACACAGTGCCTCCTGCTTTTCGCACAAGAGCGTGGTCTCCTGCAGGGCCCGTTCACGCTGCGCGATGACACATTCCCGCCTCCCGACCAACGCCGTGACACGATCTGTCAAGACATCTGTCAGTAAGCGAGTTCGCGTCTCCACAGCAGCGACGTTCTTCCGCCCCAAGGCGCACAGGACATGCACGGAACGTTGAAACAACCGCCATGCGATCCCGCCTGTCTAAGCACGCGTCGGCCATAGATAAGGCTGCCTGCAACGCCATTCTGTACGTGGCGTTAAATTCTTCCCCTGCAGAAACCGACAAACGCGCCGCCGCCAACGCCGCCTCAAGCGCCAGTAACTGACGTTCCTTCTCTTGAAAAATCAACCACACACGCGCGGCGTCAGCCTGTGCCGCATTAGTGCGTCCCTGCAATTCCCCTTGTAGCATTTCCTCCGCCTTGTGACTCTCACGCAGCATACCGTCCAGCCGCTCCGCCTCGGCTCCGAGACGCTCCAGTCGCTCTTTCAGAAGGCCTTTTGCGGCGTCCACGCGTTGCACCACCTCCACCAGAGCACGTACACGATTGAGTGCTTTGACAACATCCACCATCTGACGACAAAATGCGTTACGCTCCTGCAGCGCTCGAAGCAGAAAAGCCGCGCGTGCCGGACACCCGGTCCATGCGGTTGTAGAACTTTCAAGCGCATCTTGCAGACGAATGGATTTTTTCTGTTCCTCGCCCATGAACGCTGCAAGTGCGCTGAACTTCACATAGCCTTGCTGTAGCTGCTGCTGTAGCCTCGCACTCTCCTCCTGCAATTCGCCAAAGTCCTGCCGACGGCGCTCCACATCTGTGATGATTTCCTTCAACCCAAAGAAGAGGGACCGCTTCGCACGCTCCATCTCCATCAGTCGAGACTCCAGTCGCTCGTAGTTGCTGGCCTGCACCACCTTCTGCTGCAGCAGCGCATCTGTGCATGACTCCAACGTCGACATGCCTCAGTCAGTCCCCCCCCCTCCCCGCCCCCGCTTCAGCTGAGACGTCAAGGAGTCACGAAGTAAATGAATACACCCGGCGGTGAGTATTTGCCCAGTAAGGAGAAACAGGTGATGAGAGGGTGATGTCCAATCTCTCCCCGCAACTCCTTCCTGTGGATATGCCTGTATGCCACCCCTCACCTTCGATCGCCTGACAAGCTGCGTGGGTCGTTCCGCCGCCTTTCCGCCGCTACGCATCGCAAGAAAAAGCGTGAAAAAAAATAACAAAAAAAACAATCTGGGCGTTTCGGTCACTTACAACGGCAAAGCATTTCCCTCCCGTCAGTAACAGCAGCAGGCAGCCTGCGGGAGAAAACAAAAAAAAAGTCAATAGACATAGCTCACATAGAGAACAACGTGTTGCCCACACCGCAGCGCACAACTCTCACCGCTCCGTCACGGCGATGTACTCCTCACGCAGCTGCTGCAACACCACCTCCTCGTTTCCAAAAACTTGAGGGAAACATGCGATAAGACGCGCCAACTCTTTTGCCGTCGGCGGCTCGCCCTTACCGTCACCACTATCACTATCACTATCACAAGCCTCGGCAATACGCTGATCCAACTTCACCAACGGGCGCGCCTCCACATCCAACGCCTCGTCGCCGTCATAATCTTCGCGCGCTTTACGGTTGAGTACCTCCTCCAACACCTCCACGACGCGAGCCTGGCTGGAATCTGGAAGCGCAACAAAAATGGGGCCTAGCAGCGGCCCCACGCGCTGCAGGTACATAAATAGGAGGTGCTCCGCCAGCTTGAGTGACGCCACCCGTGCTACTACAAAACATCGCAACGCACGCCAAACACGCAACAGAAAGGAGGTGCTACCACTAACACCTTCCCCTCGCAACGCCTCATTTATGCTGGGTTGCTGCAGCAACCCGGGGCGGCCACCACGCACTCGTAGCCCAGTAGAATAGGGATCATGCAAGATATCTCTTGTAAAATCGGCTGGTGGGGTGCCACCGTTCATGTATGTCTGATGCAGGACATTCAGTGCGGTAAGGAAGGAGTTTCCCTCTAGCTGAATACGTTGAATGTAGGCCAAGCGAAAATTATCCTTGCTGTTCTGAAACTGCTGCGCGGCGGCGTGGACGGCGCTCATGTCAACTTCAGTATTCACGACAAGAGGGTCAAGATGCCCCAACTCCCTTGCAATCTTGTGCGTTTCTAGCGCGGCGCAGCAGGAAAAAACAAATGTTCCCGGCTTCAATAATCGCGTCATGGTGGCCCCGGGTATGCCGTCTGCGTAGTCGTTATCCTCGATGGTTCGCCACTTGTTCACAACGTCGCGCAGTGTCCGCTTTTTCTCTCGGCGCAGGCGCTTCTTCGTACACAAGTTCTCTTGTCCCGCAGGATTATCGTTCCCCACCTTTCTCGCCGGCCGCACCGGCTTCTGGGTGTGGCGCGGACAGTAGATGCTGGCAAAGTCGTAGAACTGTGTCTGCTGACATGCCAGAATTAAGACGTGGCACTCCATCAGCGCCTGACGCCCCTCAGTCCGCCCCGTGCACTGCACCCCACGATCCGCAAACTGCACGACTGTCTCGGGCTGCCGTGTGATGATGGTAATTCGAGACGGATGGATGAGGTACGACGCCTGTAGTAAACGCTCCACAATGGCCCGCCCAACTCTCCCGCCTCCAACCACAACAACACGAAATTCGAGTGGTGAGAGCAGCTGCCGCCGCAGCGGGAGTGACACAGAATGGAGTGCAGAGGGAAATGTTTTCTCCTCAACGCTGTGGCTACTGCTACCTCGGCTACTAGTACAATGACTGCCCCTCACTGGAGGGGCGGATAGCTGCAGAGACTCTTCGTTCCAGGCTCCAACTCTTTTACGAAGAGGTCGTGGTGGAGGTGGGGTACGCAAGGCTACATAGCAGGCTCTAGCTTCTGCCACACGTCGCATGATGTGCCAAAACAAGGAATCCCCCTCATTCAAAAGGGCCTGACACGACGAGGCTGAGTGGCACAGGTACAAGCACTGCTGAGTGATGATGGAGACCACAAGCGGTGCGGCGCGGGTGGATGGGTGTAGTGTGGGATCGACACACGCAAGTCCCACAACACCGTCAAGCAGATGCTTCGTTGTTTCTTGCATTACACTGAACTCCTTTCGCCTCGTCCCCGCCCTCGCTCTTTCTATCTTTGGCCTTCGGAGGGGCAAGAGACACGTAAAGCCACCGCTACAAGATGATCACAGAGAGAGAAATTTTAAAATAGTACTAGTAATAACACTACTATTCCGTCACGTTACCCTTCTTTGGCGTGCGGACTGTATTTTTCTCTTTCTGCCTCGTTCTTTTTTTTCTTTTTTTAAAAAAAAGGAAAAATTGTGCCTTGGGCGATCTCGTTGCAGCCTAATGCAGCGTGACCCGCAGACACAACAATTCAAAATAAAAAGGAACGCGGGGAGCAGCGGAGAAAGACAAGACCTCATGTATGCAGAACGGTTCGTGTAGAGCCCCCCACCCCCTCCCCTCGCCGCACGTGAGACGCAGCCGCACTAGTAGTAAAAGGCAACATGCAAGACGAACAAAAAGAACAAAAGTAAAAAAAAATGTAAAAAAAAAATGAAGGAAAAAAAAGGCGTAAATAAGACCATTGCACCCGCAGACGTCGAAGAGGTACCTCCTGGGGACTATTCACTCCATTGTCTTCAAGCCTCCGTCACTGCTGCTGCTGCTGGGCTTCCGCATCGCTTTCCACCACGTAGCCGCAAAAGGGGCCTTACTTGGCGGCGTACGTCAAGTAACACTTGCCGCAGTACTTGCGATCCTTGTGCTGCGCCATGAAGACGCCAGCCCCGCAGCTCGGATTGGGGCACTCGTCTCGGGTGCGCTGCACCTCGTAGGAGCCGTCGTCGTTCTCCGTCACCTTAAAGTACTTGAGCGCCCGCATCTTCTCCAGCTTGTGCCTGTGCGTCGGCTTCTTGGGCTTTGTAAAGACCTTCTTCTTCTTCTTCTTTCCCTTGCCACCCTCAACAGGAACCATCACCTGAATGGTGCTTTCACGCTGCAGGCCGTAGTCGGCGAGCATGGCCTCGTCAGAGAGGCACTGGCCACCAAAGAAGAGGGTGCCATTGCAGATACCGGCCTTGGACTTGAGACTGGCGACGGTTTCTTGCGTGGAAGCCTGAACGGCAATGGTCCTGCCGGACGCCGACTTGACGAAAAGCTGCATCCTTCCTTCTGTTTAAAATATAAATAGATGAAGTGGGTGGCATAGATACAGAGATAGATGTATGCAGAGGTGCGCAGCCATACTACAACAGAGGCGTTCCACAGAAACCACCACCATTCCGTTTATCCCACTAGTTATCGCCCGTAGTTGTTTCTATGCAACTCTCCACAGCCTGGCGGAAGTGAAAACACCATCTTCGGTACGCACAGTCGATTCCCACTTCACCTCCCAAATGGACTTCCGCAGCAAACCCTTTGTTGCTCTTCTCCTTGCTCCCAGTGCGTGGGTGTAGAAGGCGGGGGGGG